ATATAACAAGTGCATGTTTAAATTAGCCCAGGATGCTACAGATAATATAAAAGAGCTTAAAGTTCTGAATTGCCAATGTCTCCGGATTTGTATCCGAGCAGTACTAATGGTACTACAGTGAGCTGTTTCTGTGCACGAAAGCTCAAATAACAAGTGCATGTTTAAATTAGCCCTGGATGCTACAGATACTAATATATTATTTAAAACCTCATGATGGTTGGGAAGGGGATCAGGAATAATAGCAAACACAATCTTTCTTTCTAAGCCAGAGAAACGACGGAAGCTGTCTAGAATGGTGTACTCCTCTAGCCCTTCACCCATTTGTCTTGGTAATATTTTTGATATCCTCAATGCTTCTCTCAGTATTCTGCTGTGCCTCATTACTTCGGCAGTGTTGTAGCACAGAATAGCTATATCTTTCTCAGAGTAACCACTTCTAAGATAATGATGACAATGCTTTGCCACATACTCTGCTATTTCATAGCGGTTTTTCTTACGTACTCTTTTAAAGTAGCCTTTGACACCATGAGCACATGTGGCTGTACGTACCAACCTCCGTAAACGTGCTTGCAGGATACCGATTGCAGGATTCTCTACAATCTTTTCCATTATGTCCTTTAGATTGCAATAGATACTGCTAGCATTACGAACCACCTTGTTTAGCATCTCCACAGGATCATGCTGTATTGGTGGTGGAAGACCAGTGGAGAAGCAGTGAGTTGTCTGCAAGTAGTCCAAGAAAATCCACAGAAAGCCAGGCTCAGAGTGCTCTGGTGAAGTCAAAGCCAATGCCTTTCCATACCAATCACCATCCTCATCTCGGAAATTCTGTGCTTCATCAATTATTATGTGCTTCACGTAACTATAATCGTTCTTCAAAAAGGTTACTCTTGTCACAGCTTGGCAGATGTTCTTCTTTCTACAGAAGAAATGCAAGTGGATTTAAAACAGTCTCTGTGCATGGTAAACTACAAGTTATACTCGATCAGAACAAAATAATGCCCGTGGTATTTTAATCACATTTATCAGCAGATATTAGGGATGTCAAGAGAAAAAAAAGTGAACCTTAATAAAAATTCATTCCAAATACACATTTTGAAAACTGCAATGGTGATGGACACCTGGCACACCAAATCTAACCAGTGCTCAGCTATTTCAAAAAGTGTTGGTCAAAGAACATATTGAAAAAATAACAGGAGTAAAGACTTACCTCACAAAATCTTTCAGAGGGTTGTTCTCACATATGTAAAGAACCTCCTGTTGTTTGCATTTAAACATATTTCTTATTTTCTCTATGAGTTTGAGGGCCACAATAGTTTTTCCTGTTCCTGGTAGACCGTAAACATACAGCTTCTTAGTTTTGTGGAGATTTTCTGACAGTAGCTGGAATTGTTCAATGGTCAAGAGGTTCAAAAACTCAAAGCCAACAGAGTCACTCAAGAAAGATTTGAAATTCAGCAAAACTATGATGAGAGAATGCAAGAGGTTTTTCAAGCTGACGCTGTCGATTGAGCCGTAGTTCTGAGGATACAGTTTTTGAACATTCAGATCCCATTCTTCTCCATAGTTAGAGCTGAGAGGCAAAGTCAGTAGCTTTGGTATTACACACAGTTTGTGAGTATAACCTCCAGTGTTGACTAATTTCTCCTTCAGCCTCCAGGCTGTGCGTCGTGAGTACTGAAATAAACCCTCAGAGAGATGTTCACCTACTGTATAGAGGATAGGTGGCCTGCCGTTGGCTACTAGGAGGGCGTCACAGATTATGTCTTGGTTTTCTGACAGGCCAACCTCAACAGCCCAGCTTCTGGAAAATATCACAACTCCTTCAGAAACTCCTTCAGAACAGAACTCCTTCAGATGTTCATCCATTAAACTCTTCAGCCCCGGGTGCTCTTGGAAGAGATCTTTACTGAGTTTTTCTGGAGTATATATTAGGCTGTGGGATTTCACTATCAATGCAGAGCACAAGAAGTAGTTGGTGTTAATATAAAGTATAAAAATCCAGCCCTCTAAAATGATGCTGAGACGATTCATACTGGTGGAAGACCACAAATACTGATCCTAGCTGCCTGAAAGCCCTTTTCATGTGTTTCTAGATTTAAGGTTTTTTTTAATGCTGAGTTATCTGATGATGCAGTATTTACATTTCCTACCCAGGTCACAGTTCTTTTACTAAAGATGCCAGCACAGGGCCAGCTTATTCCTGCCATGCTTAGGTAAACCAGCCTAGCAGACAAATTAACAAACAGCTCAATAGAAAAGCCCCCGGACACTTGGCTGATCTTGCAGTGCCACAGAAATTCTGCTCTCTTCCAGGCCCTGTCTTTTTACATATTTTGGGCTGATTCCAAGTGAACTTACCCTACTATCTTTCCCACTTCTCAGTAGACTGTGAAAAATTGGCACAGCCATGCTCTGTCCCCAGAGATGTTCAGCTAGCTGAGCTCCATCATATATACATATTAATATCTGGAAGATATCAGTCCTTGGGGAAGGGCACCAACCTTTGGATGCAGTGTTGCCATCAGATCTGCAAACCATTTCCATCTCCCTCACCTGTTTAAATACTTTCTTCAAACTCCTTGATCACATCCTTGGGATTCATCTTTAGATCTATCAGTCAGTGAAAGCAATGCGTATACCTACCTGGAAACAGTTGCTCACAGAGATCATCCAGGCTGTTAAGGCCCCGGTGTGAGTAAACTGACTTGGCACAGGGCGGCCCCCCTGTCACACTGAGCTCCAGCTTAAAGTTCTCAGAAAGTTGTGACAGATCTGGAAAAGAGAAATGAAAACCTACTATAGCATGAGCTGTTGCTGCCCCTTAGTGCAAGGTGTACAAACCATCCTCATGCTGGTTTTAAACCTTTTATTCTTATTTAAAATAACAAATGTGATAAATAAACAGAAGGAGTGGACAACAGCTGATTAGCAGTGAATAGACTCCAGTTACGGACCATAGAGTTATTCTTGGTCTTCTTATCTCTAACTACTGTTGTGATCTCTAGCTCTATTAGTGATACTCCTTTCATTGCCCAAGAACTGGCCAATTAATAATCTCTGTCTACACCTTTCTGCCTGCCAAGCTGGTAGCAACACTGGAGAAAGACCCTAAAAGGCAGGACCAAGACAGTCTGGACCGAATCCAACCTAAAGAAAACCAAAGGAAATACCAAAATCAGGAGTGGATTATTCTGAGTCTTACGGACCTGGATCAGCAGAGGTCATCCACGCAGCCCATTCATTTCCTTTCAGTCTCCTGATAGTGCCTCCGTCGAACAGCCATGACTGCGGATCTTCTGCAAACACTGCACAAGTAAATGGCTCAACCTTCACAGCACAGACATAGCCATAGTGCTCTACAGCCTCATTATACACTTTGAAGATTTTGTGTTCACGCCTTATCTGGTGTTCACATTCTTGTTTGCAGAAATGGAAGATGGTTAATTTTTCCTGATGAACATAATTAATTAGGTTTCTTAAATTTTTTAGGCCCTCATCATCACTTTTGAATCCCTGTACAACCCTGTTATCATCCACACCAATCCACAAATACCCGCCACGTGCATTTGCAAATCCAGAGATGTACTGAGGCAATATCTCTTTAACACGAGTGAAAAACTTCTCAGTGGAGAAATGCTTAAATTCTATGTTCCCTGACTCCGTGAAATTCAATGTCTCTCCACACTGCAGTTGGTCCCTATTAAACAATTCAGCAACAGTGTTATTTACAATATGCATGTCTTCATCAGCAGCCATTGTCTTCCTTTTTTTAGCAGGTGGTCCTGTGCTATGTTCTGCCCTAGCTTTATTTTGCTTTTCTTCAAGGAAAATCAAAGCTTCAGTAGGGGTCATGTGGGAAAGAGAAGCACCACTTCTTGTGTACAACCCAGTACTGAGGCTACAGATACGTGGCTTTGCAGAGCTAGAGATTGAGGACATCTTTTCGCTGTTCCATGTTTTAATAAAAATCAAAAGGTTGTTATCCTGCTGTTTAAAGTCCAGGTATTTTGTCAAATCCGGAAATAAAAGAAGAGAACGAAAAATGTCTTGTAAATCCAGCCCAATATAATCTCTCTGTAAGTCGTAGTTTTCATTTTCTATCTCTGCTTTTACCACACCTCCTCCACAGTTTAGCAAGGCACACACTGCAGAGGCAAGGATGTGTTTTTGATCTTGTTTCGAATTTTTTGGCATCTTTTTTCTTGCTTTCTCACCAAAGGTTATTTTTCCAACACACAAAACTAGTTCAGGATACTGTGTTGCTTCATCAACCCACACCGGCAGCTGCGGCTGATGGTCCTCAAGAGCCATTTTGGGCCTAGAACAATTGTTAAAAAAAACTGCTTACCATTTATGTCAAAACATCGCACTCCCAAATGCTCCCCCCAAAAAAACATTACCTTAGCAGCAGCTACTCTCCAAACAGCAAATACAGAGATGAGAGATTAAACGAATTGTAATAATTTGTTCCCCCAAATGGGCCCCAACCTTTGGTTTCTGGGAGTTTTTGTGCTTCCTCCATGCCACCTCCCCTATTCCGAGTACAGCAGCCTGCAACAGCCCAGAGCAGCAGCACCCACTGCACAGCACTTACCTACCGCTTCCAAAACAGAGAGCGTGCCTGAAATCCACAGACCACCATCTCTCTCTTCCCTTACATCCAGTCTCAGCCTCCTCTCTGTTACCCGGAAGCCATTTCCCCTTGTCCCATCACACAGACTCTAAGAGCCCATCTCCTTTCTCACAGCCCCTTTAGATACTGGAAGAAATCGCAAGCGAGCAACTGTTAGTTTAACTATTGCATCAAATCATGGTCATACTTTTCCTTTAAAGGCACTTTCTGTTGAGCTGATGGGATGATTTTTTTACTTTTAGCAGCTGTTTGTTCCTGTTTTTACTCAGACGGATACAAAAGCTCACCACACCCATTTCGAAAGGAAAAGCCGCTATGCCTCACAAGGCGGGCCCGCACCTCAACCAAGTAAGGCGGGAAAAGCTCGCACCAGCGCCTCGCCTTCCTATTGGCGAGCTCCTGAGTCAGTAGAACCGCGTGTTGCCATTGGATGGAGCCGGGGAGGGGGCGGGACGAAGCGGTAAGTTGTTGCTGGGCGCATGGCGTCTCGGTGAGCGGGGCGCTGAGGGGAGCAGGCCGGACTCTGAGGAGCGGGGAAAGGGCGGGCGGGTTGCAGAGGGCGCGAGGCGTCGGAGGCGATCGGGGACTCAGGGGATGGAATCAGGGCCTGGCTGGTAGGGATGAGTGCGTGGAGGAGATGGGTGGCTTGAGGAGGGGGTCGGGTTAAGATAGGCCTAGGGGCCCTTGGAGGGCTGCTGCGGGGTTCTGAGGCAGGGTTTTCCTCCGCCTGGTGCTGGGCCTTCCTGGCACTTCAGCTTATGGTTACTGTATCTTACATGCAAAGCAGCTTTCGCCTCTTAGCTGTAACAGCAAGCACTGCGGAGGAGACAGAAGATGCTGCTCCTGTGGATGAGTAACACATAAGCCAGCTCCTTCTACCTGCTGCACTCCTGTGTGCGAGGTGGAGTTTTAAGTTTGAAGCCAAGGGAGCAGCAGTAAAAGGCGCAGCAATAAAAGGGGTCTTTGTGTGCAGCAGGAGATACATGCTGATTGAGCAGCAGTGTTCAGGAAGAAGAAATGGAGAGCTTTTCCTTCTCCATTTCTCATTCGGCTTTGTCACACATGCAGCTGAACACACAAGCTATGAAGGAGTGAAAGCCAGCACACTGATGGCACCAAGTACCACCTCTACAGCACTGCTCTGTCAGGGAGTTGAGTATAAATAACTTTGGGTTATTTATTTATTAAATAAAAGTTATTTATTTGCGTTGAGTATAAGCAGGTAGACCTACAGTTATATACAGAAGGAAAAGTCAACTCACCCAGCCAGTGGAGGGGCTCTCTGGCTGTGCAGCACTCCTCAAACAGCAGTCTAAGTCCAAAGGATGTTCTCCTTTCTCTAGCTAGCTCCAACATGTGCTACTTCTGGGTTCACCCCTTCCCGTTACGTGGGGAGATGTAATTTGTGCTTCCTGTGTCAGCCACAACCCTTCCTTATGTCTTCAGTCCAGCCTTGGACTGACGTGGTGTTTTGTTTTTGTTTGTTCTTCTTTCTTTCTTCTTTTCTAGAAGCAAACAAGCATCTGGAACTAGAACTTTTTCTGTGCTATTTTCTGATCTGGGAGCAGATTTCTCGTTGAATGGAAACGGATTTGCCCAAAGCAATGATGAGTGAAGTATTCTCTGAACTGGTATTGCTGAGACTTTTAGTCTTTGCTCTGACCAGGGCATGATCACGTAATCTTCTCTCTGAGCTTATTTAGGCTAAACTCTTCTAGAGCAAACAACTTTGCTGCTGCTTGAAATCCAAAAAAATAGTGAGGAAAAAAAATTGTAGTTTTTTTTTTTTTTTTAGCAAGTAGAAAAAATATTGATTTGAAAACTGGGTTGTGCAAATAGCTGTTTGGTTTTGTGTATCTTGCTGCAATATCATTTAGTACAGAGCTTGCAGTGAGAGAGGTTTCTTGGCTTTTCTCCTACGTGTGGCCTGGCTTTCGGACCTCCAGGTGCTACAGCCTCTGTATCCTCTGCGCTTGTAAATGCAATGTAGACTCTGTAAAATGGAGTTTGACACTTCTGGTAAAGCACTCATCAGCAGTTGTTATCATCTAGTGATTGTTAGCACTAATGCAGCGAACAGCATTTCTAGTTGTGAGCTCTGTTGTCAGGAGTGGCTCTGGTGCTCTGCTCTCATGCTGTCTGTTGGGTGTGAGATGGAGAGGAGCAGGTGAAGAAGTCATTCAGCTGCTTCTCTTCTGGTAGGGCTGAGGATATTGCAGATATTATTGTTAATGCAGCTGTTAGAGAAAGAATATGCCTAATGTAGGATTCCCCTAGGCTGTTCATTGGAGATGGTTTTTATTACGTGTGGATTTTCAGAAAGATAATTATAATGTTGATTATCAGAAAGATAATTACTGACAAGGTTTCAAATGACTTCTCTGATGTCATGAGACCCCTCTAAAAGATTACCTGGGTTCTTAGGTACCTATTGAGGTACCCAGAAAAAGTGACACTCAGAATGCCTGGTAGGTGCTGAGGGGGTTTTAATTTCTATTTTTGAAAACACTTTTTGTAACTTTTCACTGACGCCTGATTCAGAGGTTAGGAATTAGTGATGGGCTGTACTGATCTGAATCCATGGGACTGCAGAGGGATGAAGTGCAGCCCTTTCAGGGAGGAGAAGAGGCTGAGCTAATCAAACAAGTACAAGAAAATATGTGGGGCCACTGTAATGCAGTTTTTTATTCTCTTCCAGGTTTTGGTGCCAGCTTTATGTTCGTTTCTCTCTGCTTGTGGAAAAGGAAGCTTCTATGGGGGATGTATCCAGGAGTACAGTTACAGTGATTCCCTTCTGAGGACAAATCACGTTGTTTCTGATGAGGAAGAATGGAAGGCAACTCAATTGTTAGTGCTTTTTTTTTCTTTCTTTCTTTGTCTAGATTTGCTCAGAACGTGGCTTAGCTTTGCTGGGTGTTCTAAAAAAGATTTGCAAATCAAATTCTGACAACGACGTGCTGTGCAACTCCAGTGCCACTGTTAACGTTGATGTAATTGTATTAATAATACCATGCACTGAGGATACTTTGGTTGTGACCATAGACCTCAGTTAATATGTAAACTCCAAGGTTGGTTTAATAAAGCTGGTGGTCCTTTACAAATAGATTTCTCGTCTGTCGTTAGACTTTATGGCAATTACAACACAGTGGAAAAGCAGATAAAATGTAATATTTATGTAATTCTCGTTAGTTTCACAGCTTTGTTTTAAAGCAAGAAACCTGAACAGATATTAATGTGTCTGTTAAGGACAGGCCAGTCAGAAGCAGTCAATGTCAGGTTGGTATTCTTCAGCGACCTGCAGGACTGTTAAACATCTACCAGGTAACTGCTAGCCTGTCACTGCTGTGGGCTTAATGCCCGTTAGTCAGATAGGCATTAAAGAGCTGTTCAACATTCAAAAGAGTAATTAGAGCTGTTCAGACCTGGGAGGCTCACATGTGGGTGATTCTGTGCGGGAAGGATGGTACAGAATTTGCCCACGTAATTTGTGCAGCAAGTTTTGCTTCACGTCACAGAATCACAGAATGGCCCGGGTTGGAAGGGACCTCAAGGATCATGAATCTCCAACGCCCCACCACAGGCAGGGCCACCAACCTCCCATTTAATACCAGACCAGGCTGCCCAGGGCCCCCACTAACCTGGCCTTGAACACCTCCAGGGACAGGGCATCCAAAATGTCTTAAAACATCAAAGTAATAGTTAATTCAAACCTAGATATTAAAGATTCCCAGCACATGAAACACTTATCTTGTACCCACAACCCTCATCTGCGAAGATGAACTGCCAGCAAGCTTTTTCCAATCGTCCAAAATTTATTTGGATTCTCGATCAAGAAAGAATTTTGCTTTATAAAAGCAGGTAACAACAGAATCAGAGACTTATTTAACAATTAATTAATTGGCACAGCTGCTGCTTTAAGTTGGGTTGTCATTTCTCTCCCTTGTGGAGAAAAGGTATCCTCCCTCTTCTATCCCTGCTTACATTTCAACTCTTATTTGTATAAAGAGTCAGAGGTTTTAATTTAGAACCGTTGGTGGAAATGAAGGACGTCATTCAGAGGTGCTTAGGAGCAGAGCTCCACGAGCAGCTCAAACCTTGAGCCCCTTTCATCGTTACTTTCTCCCCTTTGAGGGAGTCCCAGAGCGGTGTCCAGCTGCCCGCAGTGCAGCACCACCCCGAACGCCCAGCCGCTGTCCTCAGAGATCTCCGAAGCGCAGCGCAGCTCTTTCAGCTCTCAGGAGAGTACAGTTTGACGAGGTGCTGGAGCTCCGTGGCATAGCCAGTGATTGGGCAGCGCTGGTGAGTCTTCACATAATTATACACACAACGGTAGCAAAACACAAAGCCGGACGTGGACAGGGCTGTGGCGTTGACTCGGGCTTTGCGGCACAGAGGGCACACTGTCTTCAGTTTGGGTAAGAGAGCTGAGCCCACCCCCTGGTCGAGATGCACAGGGGGTGGAGGAGTAGGGAGCGCTGTCAGAGATTTGATAGTTTCTTGGTTTTCAGTGGAGTACCACCAGTCCAGGAACTGCAGGAAGAACACGCATACAGACAGGCCGGTGGACAGCGAGAAGGCGATGCCACCCAAAGTCTTCCTCACTGCTGACTGCACTTGTGTTTTAATGCTGCAGGAGGGAGAGAAGAAACGGAGAAGTAATTAGCACTGTGCATTAGTGCATCTGCAAACTAACAGAATTGGGGAGAAAAGCACTGCTTTATACAGCTTAACACTAAGCTGTGACATCAGGGCGTCTGCTGTTGGTAACAAAGTATCTGCTAGGATGTTTTTCTCAGATCTTTGTACACTAAGAAAGCTTCAGGTTATGCCCAATTAAATTAGAAGAGTTTGGACTGAAGGGGCTGGGACCACAGATGGTTTCACTCATGGATCGCTGTTTTACAGACCATCAAGCATCCTTATGTCTTAGTTGCAGCTCACAGAAATCTAGTAGCTCAGTTTCCATCCTTTTAGCAGAATTGCTGCAGTCAACTTTCCTTGTTAGAAACATGTAGGTAACAACAGAACAGGATGGAGGTTGGAATGTAAAAAAACCAAAACAAAACAATTTCATTACCACTAAATCCTGTAAAGCTAATCCCTGCTACCTGTTTCCATATTTTCACTACTTATATTCCTTCTAGAGCATGTTTTGAGAGAAGGAAGCTTAATCTTGAAGGTCAGTAACACTCTGGAATACAGCTGCTGACATACCTGTGTGTTTGACTCGAGGCTGCTACAGGCAGTTTCTTCTCCAGGGCCTGGATATCCTCTGCAGTCAGTCTCACCAGGCGAACGCCAGCCAGTCGCAGCAAGGGGGAATGATGCTGAGCCTTCCCGAGGATGTAGCACAACTGCTGGACCAGAAACCAGCCCTCCCAGGCCATGTTTACAAAGGGGTAGGCGGCTAGAAAGGCTCGGTAAAAACGCTTCCAGGAGGATGATGGAGGATGGATGGAGTACTCATCCTCTTCCCTAAGGCTGGACACAAGCTTCTCTAGCTTTCCTTTTAGGTAAGGAACGAGAATCAGCAACAGGAGAGACTTCCAGTACTGCTTCTTCGGCAGGCCAGCAGTGGCCAAAGGTTGCTGTTTGCAATCTCCTGTCGGTATCCTCTTTAAGCTATAAAAGTTCTCAGAAAAGGAGGCACTGCACCTGGCCAGGTAGTGCTGCTGGAGCAGAAAATCCAGAAGGACGTAGATCTCATCGAACCTGCGCCAGAGGAGGCCGTACCGGACTGGATTAGACTCAGCAAGCACCTGCAATGAAAGAGACTCAGCAGGGATGGATCTGGTTGTGCTGTGAGTTACGCCAAACTGCTCTGGTAGCTTATGAGAATCACAGAATCATTAAGGTTGTAAGAGGCCTTTCAGGTCTCCAAGTCCAACTCCAGCCCACCGTGCCCACTGACTACAGCCCGCAGTACCACATCTCCCTGGTTCTGGAACACCTGCAGGGTCGGACTCCCCCAAGGGTGGGCAGCTGTGCTGAGAGGCAGCAGAGGTGAGGCCCGGTGGGTTTCCTGCCCTGAGCTCCCTCCTTCAGGCCCTTACCTTGACCAGGTGCAGCAGGGCGGGCTTCACGGCCGCCATCAGGCTGTCCTGAGCCACCGCCTCGAAGATGGAGGGCCGGTCATCACCGGCCGCCTCGGCCGTCAGGTGGGCGCCCAGCTCCGCCATGCCGCTCGCCCCGCTCCGCCGCAAGGGGGCGCTGCGACTCCCACCCCGTTGCGGAGGCCGAGCGGGCGGCGCTCCGCCTCCTTCCCTCGCCCTTCTATGGTGGAGGGGCGCGGCCGCTCTAGGCGGGGAGTTTTCTTCTCGCTCCTCGCGAGTCCTCCTGGCTGCTCCCTTCGCTTCCGGTTCCGGTTCTGCCGCCGCCCCCTCCCCGCAGCGGTGTGTCCGTCCGTTCGTCCGTCCCAGCGTGAGTGGTGCCGGGACGTGGGGAGGGAGCGTTGGGAGAGGCTGGAGGGGGTACTGGGAGGAGTTGGGAATTGGGAGGCAGTGGTGAGGCCCTGGGAAGGGGGTTGGGGAGAGGGCGAGAGGCACTGGTGAGGTGCTGGGAGGGGATGTGAGAACCGGGTTCTGGGGTAAGGTACTGGGTTGGGGGAGTGATCGCTGGTGGGGTGCTGGGGGCAGGTGGGAGCAGATGAGGGTGTTACTGGTGGGGTACTGGGAGTGCGTGGGGGCACTGATGAGACACTGGAAAGGGGTTTGGGGAGAGGGTGGGGGGCGCTGGAGGGATGCTGGGAGGGCGTGTTTGGATGGAGTGGGGAGGAAATGTTGGGAGGTGTTACTAGGAGGGGGTGGTGGCATTGGGAGACACTGGGATTGGGTTGTGATCACAGGTGGGGCACTGGGAGCAGGTGAGGGTCACAGCAGAGCTGGGCAGGAGGCCTGGGAGGCTAAGGTACTGTGAGGGACCTTGAAGGGACTGATGAGTCCTGGGGGCACTTGGCAGGGGTCGAGGCTGTGGAACTGGGAAGGAAGCAGGAATGGGAATTAGCAGAGAGAACTGCTGGGAGGTCTAGGGCTGCTCCTGCAGCTGGAGGGCATTGGGAGAGCCGTGGGAGGTGCTGGGTGTGAGGACTGGGTTCCTGCTGCCCACAGAGGTTGGTGCCAGATGGGCAGAGTGCTCAGGCAGTGCTGCCCCTGTGCTGCCAGTTTGTTTTTCACTGGTCTGTCATGTTTAAATGTCGCATTGGTGTGTGCAGCATTAAGCATTGCCAGAACTTCTGGAGAAGTTCCTCTGTGTCTCTTCTTGTTGGTGCAGGGGTAGGAACAGGGGCCTCTTGCAGCTCGAACGCCTTGTAGCTGTTTCTGCTTTAGCAGATGGCGGTTGGACATGGATCTAGTAAGGGAAGGGTGACCAGCTTTAGATTTTCCCTAAAAATACAGGGCTATTTGTGACATTGTTGTACGTTCTTTAGTCTTTCCAGATTTAGGTTTGTGTACAAGGAGCTGGCATTTTCTTGAGTTATTTAAAAACATGGCTATTTGTAATGCTGGGCTGTTTTGATTTGGCCTTCAGCTGAGATTTGCTGTAAACCATGTGGAGTTGCCTTGGTATATGAGACCGACTCAGCACTGCTAGCAAGCTGTCTCTTAACAACGTGTGAAGCAGCTCTGCTGTAGATGAGGCACAAAATCTGTGTTCTCTGCTGGAAGAGAGCTGTTTTTCTTGAGCGTGGCAGTTTGCTGCTTATTGAGCTGAGTCTGATTTCTGTCTGTTTGAACGGAGGTGGTGAAGGCAGGTGATGAAGGCAGGTGCTGTGCTTGGCCTTATCTGGGCCCGAGTGGTTTTATCATTCTTCGTGTTACCAAATGTGAACTGAGGTCAGAAAAAAACAGCTGAATGTCCTGCTTTGGGATTTAAAGGTCAGTATCAAAATCCAGTGAGGGTTTTTTCCCGTATGTAGCTTTATATAACTGGGATGATGTACGTGGTGGTGGTGTGTTGTTTTTTTTTTCTCCTCCTGGATTTTCTGTATAATCTGCTCTTTTGATCACTGTTAAGGCAACATTGGACCAGCTCAGCTGAGAGATGTGCCCCAGGTCTACAGATCCACATATAATGCAACCAAGAACAGCATGGTGATGCTCATTGCATTCTGTGTGGCATCCTGCCAAGTGCTCTTGTAGAGGAAAAACACTTAAGTGCTCTTTAGAGTTGGGCTGCAGTCGCAGGGACTGTGTCAGCAACAGGGCTGCTGAGCCTGGGCTGGGTTTGTGGTTACAAGAGGTATCGAGATGGAGCAGCAGGTTGTTTATCTGCTTGGACGAGGTAATGACTGCTCTGCCTCACTGTGCTGTGTGGCATGTTAAGGGTGATGGCCGTTGTGGGTGGGGAAAAAAGAAGATGCTGGTGGTGATGGGATTGGTTGAGGGATGAGGAAGGAAAGTGTTAAGAAACAGCGAGCTGGTTGCAGAGCTGGGCAGAGTCTTGGGCTTGTCCTGGTGCTGAGCCAGCACAATGTGAACAGTATGGAAGCAGACGGGCTGTGTTTAGGAGAAAAATTACTTGCTGGCTTTGCTGGTCACATTTGAGGTCATAGAGGTACATTTAAGAGGAGAGGAATTGAACAATAGGTAGAAAAGGATGGGGGTGAATAGGAGAAAGCATGTTTTGGTTGTTTCTAGGGTCATGGATTCTTAGCACCCATGCAGACTGTTTCATCAAAAACAGTAGATCTGCCCACTCCTATGCTTGTTTGTCAGCCTGTACTGGAGAACTGTTTGAGTCGTGTTTGTCACAGAGCTGGCAATTGCAGGAATGAAATGATGGATCTGCACATATGTTTGGGCGATCCCTGTAATGTAATGTATTGCTAATTTGGTTCTGAGGAGCAGGGTGCTGGTGGGACCGCTCTCTGTGAAGCACTTGCTGGCCCAGCAGCATTTTTAAGTCCGGTCCATAGACATGCACAGCACTGAAATAATAACCTCATGTGAGTGTCAGAGGTGGGAGATCTTGGCAGAGAAAGATAACAGTTTCAAGCTTGAGAGAGCTGGAAGGCAGAGGCTTTTCTTTTCAGCCTGTTGTCAGCTCCCCGTCCTGTCTGATTCTTACATTATTCTTTTCAGGTGTCTTAAGGAACTGGAGCCATGACGGACTCCAAATACTTCACGACCAATAAAAAAGGTTGGTGTTATGTGGGCATGGTGGATTGGAGGTGGCAGGGGGCTATTTTTATATGGCTTTTTTAACTGCATGCAGAAGAACTCGTGCTTTTCCTTTAGCTCTGTCCCTGTTTCTCATGTTAATCGTCCAGGGAAAAACTTCAGAAGTAGGTCACATGGTGACAAAAGACAAAACTGATGTAATAGACAGATCTGTAGTGTGTTAACTGGCCCATATTGATGCTTTTTTGAGCACCAGAGAATGACACATTAGGATTTGAGTGCAGTTATGATCAAAACCAATGATTTAGTTATGGGCTAACAAGTTCAGGACTAAGGATGGTTGTTCAGTTGGGCATCACAGGATTATGGTGATTAAAATTAATATTTAAGGTGGATGCATACTTCTCTGCCTTAAGCTGACACATAGGTAATGGGGTTTCCCACTGCTGCATCCTCCAAACCTGCAGTGAAATACATCTGTTTTCCATGTGCTGCTTTTGACATTCCCTTGGCTTTACCCTATGTGCTGTGGTCACCTCTCCTCAGGAGAAACAGCAGCAGCTGAAGACTGGGGCTGTTTTACCCATTTACCTCTTGCTTTGCTGGAACAACCCCAGACAGATTTTTTCTTTTCCCCTGAACTAGTTTCTTAAACAAAGCACTGTTTATCCTAGCTCTTGCTGGCTGTGATTTAAGCCTGATGTTGCTCATCGCCTCTCCCAGAGATGTAGAAAATGTTTCATATCAATCTCTCCTTTTCAGGATGGCTGAATGTTTCTAATGAATGCTTGCCAGTGAAAAATCGACAGCGTCGATCTATTTATGAGCTCGTTCTGAAGCTTAATGAAACATAAATTAAGCAAATGCAGTTTGCTCCTTTCTGAGGAGCAGCTCTGCCTGTAAGTTCAGTCCTAAAGTGTCAGCCAAGTGTGTCTGAGATGGCTGCAGGAGGCCAAGCTGTACTGAGCTCTGGTGAGTGAGCTTCTGCTGGCTGAGCACTGCTTGGGGCATCAGCTGTGTGAGCCATGCCCACTTTGCTTCCTTGGACTGGACGCAGTGGTCACTGCACTCTGTTCTCCAGAGCGGGAAGCTCTTTTCTTCTTGAAGTCCGTGTTAGTCATTTTCTCAATGGAAACTGCTGCTCTGACAAAGTGGTGTCAGTGGGTAAGAATTGAGAGTTAGGGGACAGGATGTGTTTTATCAAAGGTGTTTTGGTGTTTGTAAGGAGGGTGTCCTTCTCAGCCTTTGGTTTCTGGTGTAATGCTGCTCCTTCCTGGGGAGTTGTCTGTCACCAAGGAGCCTTATCCCTCCCGCAGCTCTTGCTGTGTCTGGTGGAGGCCTGATAAGCTCCTTCTGTACTTTGCAAACTTGCTTTGCTGTTCTTGTGATCCAGCCTGAACTGACTTTCCAGCACTATGCTTATTGTGGAAAAGGCTGCTATGTTGACTGCAGAAGCTGTTGTTGCTTTTGTTAGTGGGAGTCTGGTGTCACCAGACATCTTTTCATCTTAGTTATATAATGGTTGCCTCTGAGAAACAGGTACTACAGGGATGTGATTTAATGCTCTGGAAGTGGCAGAGCTGCAACATGCAGTGTGATTCTTGTTAACTGCTTTCTGGTAGCAAGGCATTGCCCCTATCACTCTGAATGTTGCAACTTTGCTGCTTCTTGGACAGTGTTCTCCATAAAATCTGACAGTCTCTATGCGCTGCTGCACTGTTTTTAGTGGAATAACAGGCCAGAAGAATAAAAAGTCACTTTCATGCTGCCCCTAAAGCCAGACCTTTTTCTTCTCCAAGAAAGCTCAATCCTTTCTGTTTTCTCCCAGGAGAGATTTTTGAACTGAAGGCTGAACTCAATAATGAAAAGAAGGAGAAAAGGAAAGAAGCTGTGAAGAAGGTTATTGCAGCCATGACTGTGGGGAAGGATGTCAGGTAAAAGCAAATTTCTTCCACTTACAGCATTTCTGATTCTGCTGGGCCTCCCTTGGGTGTGCTGGGCACACTCCTCTATCATTACTTGTCATAGCATAAATTTACAACACACTTTAAAATGAGTGTTTTTAAAAGAGGACCCCTGAGATTTCATCATGGTGGCTAAAAGGTGTAGAATCATAGAATGGTTTCGGTTGGAAGAGAACTCTAAATATCATCTGGTCCGAACCCCAGCATGGGCATTTAGCATCTGATGTGCTGATTCAGTGCTTCTCTCCCTTTTTGAAATAACCAGAGAGACTTGCTTGAGCTGAACGCTTTTTCTGGCTTCCCTCACTACTGGAATCTGCTGTAAAGTCGCAGTAGTCCTGGATTTGTGACAGTAGGATCTGTTGCCACGGAAATTGAGATAAGGTGGCAAATTTAGAATGATGACTTCATCATAGAATGGAGAAACGCACAAACTGTAAGGGAGAAAAAGTAATGTTTTTGCCCACAGTGCTTGACCTTCAGCTTTAGATCTTTACAGCATACTGGGAAGCTGTGTCCTTGTGTAGTTTTCTGCTTTCCTGTGCAGGGCTGTTTAGAGATTGATACTTGATATTTGGGTGACACTCAGCTTATCAGTGTTTAATCTCCTAATCATGTAAGGTTTTGCTAGGCTGAAATTTGGCAGGTTCTTTGTAAGCGCCCTACACTACCACAACATTTTTAAGCATCTGTTTTAGTTGTTGGTTAACTTCCAGGCCTGATATGGTGAAGTTTCTTATTGGTTGAACTCTCCAATTAAAATTCTTTAAAGAAATTGCATGAATTTCTACCTGTTCCAGGTGTGATTAAGTGATTAAAGTGTTACAAAACTGATTGCAAACTGATTAGGAAGGTGTATGGGGACTGCTGGGTCACGGCCTGAACCACTGATTGAGCACCTGGGGAAAAGACCTGGTCAGCCCTGGGAGCACAGGTGAAGGAAGTTCAGCTGTGAGACTGGAAGGAGTAGAGCCAGGCTGCACTTCTGTTAGACCTCATGTAAGGGTTGATTGGCACTGGGGAAGGCTCTCTTTGTGGAGATTCCTCCTTGGTGAAGCCTTCCCCTGCTAGAATCTTCTGATACAGGTGAGCAATTTTCTTCCCTTCCTTTGTAGCATCTTTCTATTGTGCTGGTCCTTCTGTCATCACACCTTTGTCGTAACACCTTTCCCATCGTATCGAAGTGACCTGTCATTAGACTGCACAACAATTAGAATTGAACTCCAATTTTCTTGGCTTCTTTGATATTGTCACTGTCCCTCTGTGTATCCAGTAATCTCACTGCTTTTTCTCAATTCTTGTTTCACTCTTATCTGTCCAGCTCTCTCTTTCCTGATGTTGTGAACTGCATGCAGACTGACAACCTGGAGTTGAAGAAGCTGGTATATCTGTACCTGATGAACTACGCCAAAAGCCAGCCGGACATGGCCATTATGGCTGTCAACAGCTTTGTGAAGGTAACTTGTTCCCATGAAAATGGCCCAGCAGAGAGATTGCCACCATGTTTTCTTTGTCCATCAGCCTTTCTGAGCCGTTGTCTACTTCTGCTTTTGTACTGGAGTCTCTGGTTTGAAGTTGTGTGTATAGAGGAGCAGGAAATAAGGAGTTTGCAGGCTGAGTCCAGCAGATCTGGGTCCTGTTCCTGTCTTGCTGCCTCTACTTACTGCAGAGGAGATGACTTACATGTCCTGAAAGCGGTTATGAGAGAGCAAGCTCCAGGAAAAGCTGCTTTTATCATTTTGCTAAGCATCGTTACAGGCCACCTTCTGTCACTGGTAACAGAACATTTATTTTTCATCTTCCAGCCTTTGTAGTAGCTCTGTCATACATGTACCTAGTTCTTTGAATGCCTCAGCAGTGTGCCTTGTGGAAATCTGTTCTCTGGTGAAAATGAGAGACAGTTCAGTGGGAAATAAGTGTGATTGCAGTGTTGCTTTTAATTCTGTTGTCAAGTTGCCTCTCCTTATCTAGGAAGTGTTATTTCGGTCCCATGTTATGTAAGTTAAAACCTGGCACTTAAAAAAAATTTGAGACTCCTCCTAATGCATTACAAAATCCCAGAAACCAGGGAATGTGGTCATATTGTGAGTTTCTGGTGTGGTGTGTGATGCTGGAAGAGGTGAGAAGAGCAAGGCTGAGAGCAGCTCTGTTCTGCCCAGGATGATGTCCCTATCTCCACGTACAGGCTCTTGGAAAGAATTTTGTTGTCTATCATCTCTGAAGTGTAATGCAGTTAGAACAGACTAACAAATATAGCCAACATTTCCCAGTGCTTTGCTTTTCCAGGCAGAGAAATGTCTGATGTCCTTTTTGGCAAGCTGAGGGACAGGCATTAGTATAGTGAAAATGTTGGCACTTGTATACCTTAGCTCAGTGATTCACATGCAGTTCACAGTTCAAAGTGGTGAATGCTCTGGTGAGAGATGTCACTTTGAAGTGGATGCGTTCAGGTGTGTTTCAGCTGTAGGATGTGAAAACAGTGAAAGATAAGTGTGCAAAGTGCTTCTTGTAGATCATTTTGCATCCATCCTGTTATAACCTGACTGTGGAACAGGGTTGCTCAGAGACGTAGATAGAGTGGGGGAGTAGATGGAGAGTTTAGCTTTAAAACCTACTGAATTTTTAGAATGATTGTGTGGATAAATCATGTGGCTTTGAAGTATAATCATCTCATCAGAAAAACACCTCTGGTGTCACCTTTGGGTTCTTCCTGTACTGCTTGTGTTTAGACCTGTTGGCCTGTGAGAAATATAACTGTCACAGTTATATATATCACTGAATAGCTGTCACGTTGTGTAACTGGTTACTTCTGCCATTATATTCTTTGGTTCCTTTAGACTGGAAACTGTATTTTGCCTGCAAGCAGCCTGTGGCTAGCCTTTGGATGGTGAGAGGTTCCTTTCCAGCATAGCTGTGTTTTAGGTTTAGCTGTGGTGAGGGAAGCTTTGTCTGGGGAGAACTAAGGGAAGCAGATCACAGCGTTACTGTTTTGGAAACTATCATAGCCTGAAAATGTTCTGTGACGGTATAGAACATTTCTGTGAATCTGTTCTACCTTTTATCATCAATCTGAATTAATTGCCTTTCTGAACACATAATCCAAGAGGATGCCTTTTGTTTGAAATAAGGACGGCGTGATGCTGGCTGCGGGGAAGATATTAGCGATGATTGTTGCAGAATTGATGACTGTGTGTTCTTTCCCTTTGAAGGATTGTGAGGATCCAAACCCTCTCATCCGTGCTCTGGCCGTCCGCACCATGGGATGTATCAGGGTGGACAAGATCACAGAGTACTTGTGTGAGCCTCTTCGCAAGTGTCTGAAGGATGAAGACCCTTATGTTCGTAAGACTGCAGCTGTGTGCGTGGCGAAGCTGCATGACATCAATGCCCAGATGGTGGAGGACCAGGGATTTCTGGATTCTCTGCGTGACCTGATTGCAGACTCCAATCCTATGGTAATGTACATATCCTGGCAGTGCACTGCCTGAATTGGAAACAGACAGGCAATCAGGAATGTGAAGGCTTCTAATTGCAGTTGATGCGTCGTGAGGAATGCATTGATTAGGGAATGCTTTCTGCTTGAGAAAATAGGAGATGCCCGTTTGGGCTTTTGCCTTTTTTGTCTATCTTGAGTGCTGCAGCAAAAGTTTAACTTATGGTCTGATGACTCAGAAGAGCAGGGTGAGAAATACTTTTTCTGATGTTCCTACCATGGCTACAGCTTGTAGCCATTGCCTTCTGCAGTGAGGAGAGCGGATGAATTCACTCACTAATGCAGATAAATCTCCCAGCCTGTAATGAGGGAAGGAAATTGATTGTGTTTTTCATACAGTTAAATGAGTTGTCAGAGCAGAGGTAGAGGTCAAGACCAAGAATTTCACAGGGTAACTTACCCACTAAATTGTGTTTTCACAGATGCTTGATGTGGAAATGGACCCTTTGTCATATGTCACTGTTACTTTCTAATCAAAATATAGTGGGTTTTTTCTTTTTCAGCTCTTGCAGAGCACAGATCTGATGGACCTATTCTTAAAGATGTCATGTTACGTGGTTATTATGGATATAACAACATATTCTATGGCACATGAATCAAACCACATAAAGCAAATTGCTTCCCTGGGGTAACTATCGTTGGGCAGCCCTGAATAAGTCAAGGGTGGGTGGTGAGGTACTGACCCTTTAGCAGGGAGTGAAGGCTGTGAGTACATTTCTTATGGCTTTTTAGTGGTGCTAAAACTGAAAGTACCCGGCTTTTACAGGCATAAATCAGGGAGCATTGGTGCCAACCGGAAGATAGAAGCACCTATTGCTGCAGTCTCTTTTCCAAGCTGTTCCCTTTTCTTCCCTCCTTGAATTTATTATGCTAGGCTTCTGTGTGCATACTCATGACTACTTGGAGGTGTTCCCTCTGCCTGAGTAATTTTGAGGCACAAGGAGAACACCTGCTTTTTATAAATGGGATGTTGAGAGTGCCTTACAGCCTCTGAAGGTACTTGGTTGGGCTGCTTTAGTTCCACTTAAATACTGGCCCCTGACCTTTACTAGTTCGCTGCAGTGATGGAGTGTACTGTGAGCAGGGATATAACCTACTTCTCTTAGCCTGATTTCCAGCTCTCTGATTTTCTTCTGCTGATTCTAGCCTTGTGAATGTGAATTGAGGAGCTTAGGCTTGAATAGATGCAGTACTTCAGGAGAAATAAATAAGCTTTGTTTGCCCTTTCTGCGTTTTGATCTCTGTAGAGTGATCTGTTTTGGTAAGTAAACCATAGGCTGTTAGGAGAGAACCAGTATCTATTTTAAAAGCACATTAATACTGACTGAAATGAATGGAGAGAAGGGTAGAGATACCAAAGAGTAGTTCATGCTCCATTTGTGAAATAAGCCACCACAGTAGCACAGAGATGCCTAATAAAACATGATTTAAACTTATGAGCTCTGTCTGGGTAACAAAGATGAGCTGGGATGGAAAAACCTTTGCAGCTCTACCTTGGCTGAAACCCTACAGGGTCACAGAACCTGCATTGTGTCACACTTACCTGCTCATCCTGAGGCTGTGTCCACATCAGGAGAATGCAGGGGTGATGGTGATGAAGAGGAGAGGCCTGTGGTGTGTTTTCAGATCTGCAGGCTTCAAGAGGATTCTTGCTTTTAAGGGTGCATACAGAGAGATTTTTGTCAGCTTTTGGACTCCTATAGGTGCTGACTTAATACACCATCTAAGCTGATTACAGAGCCTGAAAGTTCCCATTTAGTTTAAAAAAGCAAAAGTGTCAGATATCAAAAAGAAAGATCAGTTAAGAGTGGTATAGATACATTTATCCTCGTGGCACATTCCTCTGCAAATGGTGCATCTCATTCATTGCAACTTACCTAAACTCATTCATGGCTTTATTAATATAAATGCTTCTCTTCTTTTGATGACTTGTGGAAATGGGCACATTAGGCATTCAGTGGAGCAGAATGGGTTTTAGACAGGAAATCCACACTTGCTTCTGTTCTGAAAAATGATGATTTTGAGCAGGAGTTGAAAATTCCTCATGATGAAAAATAGTCTTTGTGAAGGGTTTGGTGTGACTTTGTAATTGGCTGCCTGTAGCACGTGAGCAAGCACGATCTGTTCAAGCTGGGTGCTGTGCTGAATAACAACTCCATCTGTGGCTTGCTGATTGCCTTGTAATTGTGTGGAGATCAGGATGCATGCTTCTGTCTCTCACATCACCCTCATTGTAAAGGTGTCCAATGTGAAGCTGGAAGTGACCTCGTCAGAGCTGTTTTTCTCTGTATTTTTAGAACTGGTAACTTATTGCCATGATATCATACCAAAAAGGGGGTGGGGGTTTTGAGGGCGTTGCAATGCTGAGGGTGTGTAGCCAGGGTGCATTTCTCCTTAACTGGGCTTATTGTTGTTGGGATCTGGCCTTTGTTCCTTGAGGATGTACAGGATGTGCTTCTGGAGGAGCTTTATCTGTGGCTAAAGGACCAGCACCTGAATGCAGTACAGTAGTTCTCCAGCTGCTTCTGTGGTCTCACTGTGGTACCTTTGCAGTTTCTCCTGGGTGAATTCAGCCTTCTAATTGCATCTAGGTGTCTATGAGTACATATGACAAGGTACTAGATGGATTGGTGGCTTACTGTGTTTCAGCTGATGTCTTTCTTTCCATGGGCAGTGGGCCAATAGCACATGTGAGGACGTGCTTCAGTTACCAGGTGGTTACACTGCAGAAGTTTGGTGGATGGAGACCTTAATCTCATTTTGCAGGCGGATCTAAATTGCCGTGAGCTGCCTTTTGTTGCTTGTGGTTCTGCTGAAGTTTCCTCTGTAGATAAACCCTCACTGCTTCCCACATGTGTCCCACGACAAACACTTTGTCTTCAGCGCTCAGCATTTCCTTGTGAGAAGCTCAGCAGAACCAGGCCTGGATGAATATAAAGCTAGAGGCTGGCTGCAGGAGGTGAGAGATTGGTCTCCTATGTGTCTACTGATGGCTAAAGGCACTCTGAAATCCTTCAGAGGACCACCACGTTTCCTTTATCCTCATCCTGTGTTCTGACACTTGTGAATCGCATTTGATGACTGATTGCCATGAGAACATTGCACACTCCAAGCTCTGGTGATGGAGAACAAGGCCACAAGATGGCAGCAGCTCAAAGCAGAACCAAATCTGTTCATGGCTGCACACCTTGTTTTGTAACTTGTTTTGTAGTCTCCTTCTGGCTTTTATCACTGTGCTTCTTGGTTTTCCTCAGGTGTGTAAATATTAGCAGAAAAGCATAAGGGGAAATCCATCATAAGCCTTGCTGGTCTTTTAATATTTGAATGGAACAGGCTTTCTCTTTCTGAACACTTCTGATCCTTGACCTTCTAGGATAGCTCACAACCTGTGGGATCGTTTCCTTGTCAATCTGTGCTAGCCACAAGACTCCAGTTTGGTTGGTGTCATCTTCTCTCAGTTCTCTTATAGGTGCTATTGGGTTTTTAATTCCTTGTAGCTCTTCTTCCTCCTGTTCTGCTTTGTCACTGTGCTGCTCTGGATGACAGCTTCCAAGGAGTGGCTGTTCTGCTCCTGTGTTTTCATGGGCTGTGTAGACATACCACTTATCTGCTGTTCAGCAGTGTCATGTTTTATGCCACCTATACATCCCAGTTTATTGGAAGGAGCGCTGTTGGGAATCGATATGGAGTGAACAGATCGTGTAACAAGATGATTAGCAAAGACACCAAGTGTATGGAACGGAGTTACTCTTTTGTTGTGCCTTTTTGCATCTGTTTTTAGTAAGCTGTGCTGAGAAGAGGGTCTCTTGAGCCCGGATAACGAGCAGATGTGAGGTTAATCTTGATTTAGTCAGAATCACCTCTAGCAGTATTGAGTTTCCATAGCTCACAGGCTAGACTGAAAGCCCATTGATCTGTATCACAGTGCTTTCTTGACTCTCCTGCTGTGACTGCAAGCTTCACAGGTTCCTTCTCTGCCAAACAGAACCTGAAGTATACATCTGGGCTTCCAGTATGGCATTATGGATGAAGAAGGTCCTCACTTTCTCTTTATTAGTTGCTGGCAAGCTGTTTGTCTGTCTGAGACTGTATCCTGGGCTATGGGACTATTCAAAAGCAGCTTTACCTCCTGGGCTGCCCTCTGCTGTATGTTGTACAGGAATATTGCTCCTCCTTGTGTAATAACATCAAGAAACTGCTGGTGGTCCTTTCAAGTCCCGACAGGACTTTGTGGGTCTGGTCTTGCACAACATCATCTTCACAGGGCTCTTTGTAGGCCACTCCTGCCAGTTACCTTTCTATCTATCTGAGAAGCAGAGAACTTTCTTTGCAGAAGGGCTGTGGTTGCAGAGGAGCATGTATGAATAGGGGTATGTTAATGTGTGTGGAGGGATGCTTAAAAGAGGCAACGTGGGAGATGAGCAGGGAGTTCAGAAGCCTCTTTGCTTGTGTGGCTGCGTTGCAGCAGTCAGACTGCAAAGACTTAAACTGGGGGAGAGGGGAGGGCTGCCACCCCGCGCTGATGGCAGGGCTTTCAGTTGGGTTTTTGGGTTGGGTCAGGCTGGCTGAGCAGCCAGTTGTTTTTCAGGTTGTCACCTTGAAGAGATCTGAGGGAACTGTGGGCCTCTATGCAGGATTTGATTTTTGGGTAGGCCGAGGGATGCTGGTTTGGGGTGGATTCTGTGGAAGCTGTTTTTTTTCCCTTCCTTCTGAATGCTTTCAGTCTGGCAGAGATGCAGTGTGTTCATACAGTAATGCATGAATTTCCACAGCTCCCAGGAGTCTGTCCTTACAAGACCCCTCATTTATAAACCTTAATTGACAAATTCATCCATCGGAGACCTGTTTCTTTCCAATTACTGCTGCCAGTGTGTGTCTAATTTCCCAAGTGTTAGTCTTGCCCAATAGATCATCCCAGGATCTCTAATATCAATTTGAGTGCTGGGAAATTTTGTTGCCATG